CTCCGAACCGGCCGCGCCGAACGGCCCCCGGCGCGCGCGGCGCAGCTCCTCCCGGTGGCCGGCGGGGGACCTCAGGGTCCCGGCCGAGCCCTAATCGGAGAACGAACAGCCTGAAAAACTCATGGTCGGGATGTGGAGAAACTGAACGGCCTCCCCGGGCCCGTGCCAATTACAACGCCCCCCCCCCAACTTTTGTTGAACAAAAACACCAGCTGAGGTGCTGGAAGCGTGTAATTAAGTCTAGTTTCTCTGTCCACATTCCACTCGGCTCCAGTTACGTGCAGTGTTAAGTGTGCGTGGGTCTTGTGGGGACTCCAGTCAAGTAAACTTACAACTCATCCCCTTTGGAGAATTAACTGCTTTTTGATTTGTTTTTTAACTTTTCGAATTAATTATTAGATTCACAGTTGCAAATATAGTACAGACCTCTGCGGTCTGCCCCCCCAAAACCCACGAACCCTGTGAGAAAAACACCGGGCAGACCCAGACTGAAGGGATCGCGTGGAATACCTGACGGGCGCTTCTCAGGACACCACCGGGAGGTACAGTTTCCCCAGTTTCCCCAACACTTGCATAATTTTACAAAAGCAGGGGGTTCACGTTTATATGATGTGTGTTTAGTTCTGTGTTACTTTATCACGTGAAGATGTGTGCAACGAAATCAAGATACAGAACTATATTTTGGGATCATTATTTTATCTCGGAACGCCTCAATCCCTTTTTCTTAAAACCCAATCAAAGTGCTGTTGTGAGGATTAATAATCACTGGTAAAATGTGTAAAATGATAATTTTATCATTACTTTCCTTGCTTAGGTTTGTTACAAGTACATGTAAAAGTGCTTGTAAACTGTAAAAATGTAAACACAGAGAGGTTAAATGGCTTGCCCAAGGTCTCCCAGCTTGTGAGGAAAGGATAAATGTAGTTTGACTGCAGAACCCATACTCCTAACTTAACCCTCCTGCTCAAAACTTTATTGCCTTCAGGTAAAGGAGTGCAAATAATCAAATCTAAATGTAACTGGGGTGTTTTTTTAAAATCTAAAACGTTTTTTAAAATCTCAGGACATATGCAGAAACTGTAAAAACTGCCACTTCAAAGGGTTTTTCTTCTCTCAAGACCCATTTGGGCCAAACTTTAACATTAATCTACGCTATCCATTAAGGTGACACACCAATTTTGAAATACAGAGAAATACAGGAAGGAAGATTCCAGCTGTCAGTCAATGGCCAGATGCTGTGCAGGGGTGCTGAACCCAAGAGTAAACATTTTTCTGTGGTGTTTACAATCACTATGGCTTTGATTTGCTTTTAACTGTTAATACCTTATTGGTCCAGTTTTTCTCTTTTCAGAAAACTTATTTTGTGAATAGGTAATGCATTCCTCTGGTTCACAATTTGAAAGGTTCACAAGACTTTACAGTAACTGTCCCTCAGCCTTCATATACTGTTCTTAGAAGTAAGCAATCATCTCTTTTTATGTGTATTGTTCCACAGATATTTTACATATAGCAGGTATATACGTGTATCATACTCTCCCCTCCTTTTTACACAATGATGGCCTTTATGTGCACTGCTCTGCACTATATATATTTTTTTCACTTCCCAATAGGTCTGGAAGATTATGCAATATCACCACAAAAGAGCCTCTCCATTCTTATTTACAGATGCCTAGTACTCACTGTAGGATTACATACCATAATGTATTTATTTAATCAGTCCCCTATCAATTGATGTTTAGATTGCTTCTTTTGCTATTACAAATAATGCTTCAAGAAATAATCTTGTACACATGCCATTACATAAGTCTGCAGGCACGTCCATAGGATATTCCTAGATGTGGAATTGCTGGTATTTTCATTATTTAAAAAGAACATGGACTAGAAATGATGAGGTAGACCCAGAGGCACTCAGGCACTTCTGTAGAGGAGGGTCACCCTAATGTGCTTAGATTTGCATCACCCTGTGGTGGATCCTCTAGGACTTTCATTAGGACCTTGTGAAAACCAGGTTTCATTTATCTGCTTGTCCCTAAAGCCTCCAATTTACTATGATCAACTTTTCCTTTAAAATTAAAGTAAAATTTCCTTTTATAAGACAGTTTAGCAATATCTATCAAAATAAATAATACATGTACACTTCACCCAGCAATTCCACTAGAATCACTCAATATCTAGCAGTAGGGCCTAGCTAAAAAACATTGTGGTTCGTGTAGTCAGTGGCTTACTTGTTAGCTGTGTAAAAGAAGCAGGAAGTTGCCTGGCCGGGCGTGGCTCAGCGGTTGAGCATCCACCTAGGATCCAGGAGATCCCAGTTCGATTCCCCGTCAGGGCACATGCCCGGGTTGCAGGCTTGATTCCCAGGGAGGCAGCCGATCAATGACGACTCATCATTGATGTTTCTCTCTCTCTCCCTCTCCCTTCCTCTCTCTGAAATCAATAAAGACATATTAAAAAAATAAATGAGGAAGATCTTTGTAAACTGATATGGAAAGATCTTCTAGAAACATCATTAAGCAAAGAAGCAAGGTGCAGGTAACTGTATAATGTGCTTTTAATTGTATGACGATAAAGAGGATATACATATATATTAATATTTGATTGTAAATGAACATTTAAAATTTCTGGAAATGATAAATACAAAACTAGCAACAGTGATTCACCATTAGTGGAAAGGGAGGAAAGCCAGGCAAATGGAAGACGGAAGAAGGAGAGAAAAGGAAGGAAGAGGAGAGAGGATTGTTTTTTGTTTTGTTTTTTAAGAAAAAGCATGAAATAAACTTTAAGTAAAATAGTCCAGAGGACAATATACTGGGAAACCCAACATTCCTCCAAAACCTCTGGAAATTCCTGTGGTGCCCACGTGCTTTCTGGTTGCCCCTGTCTTGGAGTTCTTGCTTCTGCTGACTTCCCTTTTCTTCTCTGCTCTTACCTCCCATGGGGTGGTGGCCCTGTGCAGTCACAGCTGTGCATCAGGGTGATTTATTCAGTTTCCAAAGCATCACCACAGCCTGTATGTAACACACTTTTACTCAACGGAGTACATTATAGCACACTGTGGCCCCACAAACAACCTCAACTTAGATCCTGTTCTTTAAAAAGTTCCTCAGCCACTCCATCCTTGTGGCTGCCTCTCCACAAAGAGCCTTGTAGCTGGGTACTTATCTCCTCTTCGACCTTCTCCCCCTGTCCTCTAGTGTCACTCCCAAAATTCCTCTGAATTTCTTAGGCAATGCAATTTGGCTCTCTTTTTGCCTCTCAGTCCATTCCAAAGGACCTCAACCAACCTTTAAAGGGTGTGTGTGTGTGTGTGTGTGAACACTTTATTTTGAAATAACTTTAGACTTACACTAAAGTTGCAAAACTAATACCTAAAGTTCCTGAATATCTATCACCCAGTTTTCCCTAATGTTAACATCTTGCATAACCATAGTGCACTTATCAAAACCAGGAAAATCAGCATTAGTAAAATATTATTAACTACATGACAAACTTTGTTTGGATTTCATCAGATTTTCTGTTACTGGCCTTTTTCTGTCCCAGGATCCAATCCCAGATCCCACATTGCATTTAGTAGTCATGTCTCCTTAAGCCTTCTCCAGTCTGTGACAGTTCCTGTCTTTCCTTGTCGTCGTGACCTTGAAACTTGAAGACTACAGTTATTTTGTAGAATGCCCCTTAGTTTAGATCTGTCTGGTGTTTTTCTCTTGATTAAATGGAGGTTGTGCATTTTTAGCAAGAGACTTTAAGGTGAGGTCCTTCCCAGCGTGTCATATTGGGGGCACATGACACAGATAAGCAGTTTCAGAATAGCTAATGCATTTGCCTGTGAGAAACAAGTTTACTAACTGGGTTGCAGTACTTGGTGCAGTCATTTTCTTCTTGAACCTACAGTATACAGTCAAAATACTGTTTTCCGAAGTTACGTAGGTTGGTTCTTTCCTGCTCCACTTCCTTCAGTGTGCTTATGCTAATTTGTAATACAGTTAAGTTTCTTTGTTGTAATTTATATTCCATTTTAGCTTTCAGTTTTGTTGATTTTTTTTAACATCAAGATGTGTTTAAAACAAAGCATATTCTCTTCAGGATAAAGATTCTGTGGGCAGCTCTTAAAGCAGAGGCCCAGCTACGTTAGGCCCAAGCATGCAATTTGTCCACACCGAGCCATTTTTTTGTTTTTTAATTCCTTGCCAAATTAAAAAAACGTGAAAGATTTCACATAAATCCAAGTGGACAGCTTTGCTTAAAAGAATCAGATCTTCCTACACCGGTCCTGCTTTTCCATGTGGCAACAATTCCAACTCGGAAGGTCTGTTGTGCAGTAAGGAAATTCCCCTGGAGTCCTCAGTGCCCCTAGAGAACTTTAGGGACTCCTGTGGTTGCAAACTACTGCTCAGGGGGACAGAGTGAGGGGTGCCAGGAAAAGTCAGGATTAGATCCCAGGTTTTCTGACCCAAGCATTCCTCTCACTACACCGTGTTCCCTCTGAGCATTAATATCAAATTAACAAAATTATATCCTAGGAAGGGTTAAATATAAACAGGGACTCATTCCTGAATAGGAAGAGATTGTAGTCAAAACGCTTCCAACCATGGCTGCTATCAAACACCATGAGGGGTAGTGTAAAAACATAGATTCCATGAGATTCTAATTTTATAGGTCTAGGGTGGAGCTGCAGAATGACTCTGATGCCGCCAACACACAAAATGACATTTGGAAACTGCCGATTTTGTCCAGTTTTATAATTTAACACAGGAGGCGACTGAGTTAGGAAGCTTTAGCAGCTTGCTCATAGTCACTAGATAGTGACAAAGCTGCACTAGAAAAGAATTATTTTGGAAGGAGGTGGAGAGAGATTATAAGTGTTACATTTTATTTTTTCATTCTGGTATGCACTTTTAAAAAACATTTTATTATGAAAAATTTCAAACATAAATGTTGAAAGACTTCATAGTAAACATCTGTATACTGACAACTTAGATTCCACCACTAACATTTTTTATACTTGCTCATCATATATCTATCCATTTGGATTCATCCACCCATTCATCCATCCATCCATCCATCCATCCATCCATCCATCCATCCATCCATTTTTTGTGGATGCATTTCAGAGTAAATTGCACATCAGTACATTCTCCCAAACAGTGCATCATATATATGAGATCATCTGTTGATTTCTCATTTTATAGCGTAGCCCACACTTAGTATAGGAAAGGCAAGAAAACCATGAGGATAGCAGAAGTAAAAACAAAAACAGTAAAATCATGTAAAAGAAAGCTATTAAGAAACATTGGCACATTTGAAGATGATTAACTCCAGTTTTTGTGTACAAAAAACCTAACATACACCTATTAAGTTTATGCAAATCACTACAGAGAGTCATTTTCTCCCCCCATCCCCACAACATTTGTGGCCTTTTTTTTTTTTTTTTTTTTT